AACTTGGTTACCTAATTTTCAAGCCAAATTTGTTTTATATGTGATGAATATCCTAAAACAGTTGTTTTCACATGCAGGTACTGTATGTTGGGCGTCTATCACATCTTCAGCAAAGTATAGTGAAAAAGAGAGTACCACCCTCACCCGTCAGTCCAAAGAGCCAAATAGTGACTCACATGGCTATTTCTTAGGCAACAGATACAATTTTTTATCTAATAAGATGAAGACAGCCAAATTACACAAGCAACCCGAAAAAATAACAGATGCATTTTGGGGCTATTAAGTAAAAATATAAAACAGGAGCACATTTTGTATGTGTAAATAAAGCACTTATAATAGACACATTTTTAACACAACTTACGCAAGGCTTCCAATTTCAGCCATTGACCCTTTTGACCACCAACAACAACATCATACAGACAGAACACTAGGTAATGTGAGTGAAGTGTCTTGCCTCAGGACACAATGGCAGTTTCAGCCTCTGCACATGTCCCACTGCCACACCAGGGGCTCTCCAGAATGGCTGCAGATTCCTAGTACCATGAGCTGTGACTCTTTCCATTACTGTTTGTCTTAAAGGTGCATTGTGCCACCTTTTATGTGGTTTTTTAGCATACTTGACCTTGTAGTGAGTCACCCAATGGCTGTAAGAGTGGGCATCATCAATTACTTAACATATTTAAAACTAATGCTCTTTCTATTATCCACAGTACTATCACTCGTACTTGTCACATGATCAGGACTATTGGAATCATGTTAGCAATATACATATTCCGATTAACTTCACTTCAATTGAATTTAAAGCTGTATTTGCACTTGTATAAATACAATCAAACAAATGTTCTCCTCAGTGATTTCATATAGTAAGATAAACCCAAAGTTCTCATTCATTGTTCATTCATACTTGCAATTAAGGTCACTCAAAAAGCAATTTGCTTTGAGCACAATGACTATTGATTTTAAGATTTGTGTCATTGTTTTGAAGTATTCTGCTCCATAATAGTGGTTCAAATAGCAGACTGGATCCTATCAGGCAAAAACAAAACAAGTGTTGTGCTTACCTGGGTTGAAAAGCCCACCTGTCGACACTGTGACAATAAGCCATACAAAACAAGTGAGGAGCAGAAATGCATTCATACATTGTGTGAATACAACTCAAGTGTGTCTCTCCACACTCCACTGTCACTCCGCATGAAGAACAGTGAGACAAAGCCATGGAAAGATTGTATTAATTCACTCCAATGCCTGTCAATCAGAGCTTTCACTGCTCGGTCGCTTGTTACGCTGTTCCCCTGAGCTTCCAACACGCTGGAACACAGGTAAACATGACATTCCCGACACTTCCTGACAAGATGTAAGCTTTGATTTTAACAACGTAACAATAAGAACAAGTCCTCAAGACACATACAGTAAAAATGGCAGATTATGATCATTGGAAAGTGCTGTTTCACCTCTTCCTCATGGTATCTTTCAGTAAGTTTAACCACGTATAATGGAATCAGGATTATACTAAATTTAATGGGAGACCTTTGGGAAAACCAGAGGCCACAGTGGAGCTGCTGTAAAGTTAGTTTTTAGGCTCATTGACCACTTGGGGTTGGAGAGACAGATGGCACAAATTAGCCTTGCTTCTGTCAATCTGTCCCAGGGCAGCTTTGGCAAGAGTAGTAGTTTACCACCACCATGAATTGAGTAAATAATGTCATGTTTACGACTTAAAGTTTCCAGGAAAGCTCTATACAAAACTGATGCATTATTGTGTTGTCCTTGTGTGTTACTATTGAACACAACAATTACTATGGAGTGAAGAATTCGATGCTATGTTATGAAGCATCCTTGATCTCCTTTTTATTATTGAAAAATGGTGAATAACAGAACTTCATGGATTTCATATATCTCAATGGAGACATAGAGCAGTAAAAACACCTGTCATTGAACTTGCAATAAGTTGACTGTAGAACAATCCAGGCAATGCATTCATGGACAAATTTGCATACGTGGCATGAACGTAGGAGGTGCGCGCACAGATTGGCCAAACTTTTCCATTCTCACTGTGCAAAAACATGGAAATATCAACCAAAAATCCCAGAGCACCTCTTCTGCATAGGTTTCCTCCGGGTGCTCCGTTTTAACCTTAAATAAAGTGCACATTTACATTTAGTCCATTATAATGTGATTCCCTGTGTTTCTGGGTGCAAAATTATGAGATAGAAGTTTGTTTTGACCCTTTTATTATATTTTAAACCCACAAAGCCTGCCTTCAAAACAACTCATCAGCCTTTCCCACTGTTGTACTGGCTCCACACGTGTCGAAAAGGGAAATAGCCTTTTGAAAAGAAGAAATTTCTTTCAAAACAATTATTCGGTTCCTTTAACAACAACATTTAATATTAATGTAAGTATGAGCACATTTACCTCTGAAGCACCCCCTGGTTTTGAAAGTACGTTTGCAGCCCAGACGACTTGTTGCCCTTTCACACCTGCTGTGTCCATCCTAAAGTCCTGTATTTTCGTTTTGTTTCTTTCTTCTTCTGTGAACATCCCGTTGCTTCCCTGGGCCTCCTTTGTTCTCACTAAAGGGTCCTTTTATTTAGCAGAATCTCCCATCTCAGAGCGGTGCTTTGGTTTGATGCAGATCTTCATTAATCTCGTTGAGCGGTCCTGTCGTTTTGATGGGAATTGAATTTGATCCCTTATTGTGGCGCGTACGAAGAGCTAACAAAGCCCTGTGTGCCTCCCTGTGTCTGTGCACAATCACACAGACCCAATTAAATAATTTGGTACAATAACGGCGAACAAAGTAAGCGCCGGCTAGAAAGTGCGAGCTCAGGCATTTGCATTCTTCCTATTTCTGTATCATGGTAATTAATTTGCTTTGAAACTCACAAGGGGAGGCAAAATGCAAAACACAGTGCTGCATTTAAACTAAGTTACTGGATTTGTAGTGGCTACGCACAAAGAATCCAAGTTGTCAAGTTTTGGTTTCCAAGTTTTGGTTTCATATGCATTTCCCCCAGTCTTGCGACATGATAACTGGATAACTGCCTTTTAATTACAGCGGAGTGACGAGTGCGCTCTTGCTCTCGCTGTCCCGTGTGGTGAAAGCTAACCGGCTCGTGGTCACTGGCGGCTGAGAGGCGTTGATAGGGCACATATGGAGCTGTCAGAGCACTGGTGGGCTCTGCTGGTCCAGCCGCTGTAATTGAAAGAAATGAGGCATGGAGCTGACACATTAGTAGTCTCCCTAGAGATGGACCACACAAAGACACACACAGCCCTATGTGTTTCCCTTCATCACATGCTATCTGTGTGTGGAGGCGCAGACTGAGGCGCAGACTGAGGCTCGTCCTACGTAAGCGGGATAGGGTGTAAGATTGGGGAGGTCCATCTGGGTTAAGGGGATAATGAGAAACTGTCCTGTGCTGGGTTAATCAGCTCATCTCACTCCAGCGAGCCATTTATTTGCTGTTTATTGGGCGTGTGAGAGCCTCAGGGGGAGAGCTGTCAGGGAGGCAGCACCTGCAGCATCTCCCTCTCTGTGATTTAGCGCGGTCCGGAGCCGGCGGGCAGATTACACCGGACACTAATCAAACCGTATTTGCACTATGATGAGACAAACTGCTCCCTTGCTGACCGCCTCAGCCCATCTGAGACGGCTGCCCTGTGTAAAAATGACAGTCTGAGGCCATTGTGCCAGCCTTTCACTGCTGAGTAAGTCCTGCACAGTGAGACTTTATGTGCAAATCATCTTTATGAAATCATTACTGCATTCATCCCAGTCATATTATAGCTGGGGTATCTAACTTTTCCTCAATCAATAATTTTAAAATATATCCCAACAGAAAGACAAGAGGCTTGTTAAAGTAAAATGTAAAAAAAAGTCTGACAAAAAAAATTCTGACTTTGTCTTACTACAGAAACACAGTTATCTCTTGCATACTTGTAACCAAGAGCCCCGTGAGTCGTTATTTGACGCTTTGGGCTTTTCTGTCTGAAAAAGCTGATCTAAAGATGTGTCAGAGGCCAAAAATTTGTGATGGAAGAACCATGGGGAACTTTATTGACTTTATTGCATAGTTCCATTTTTGTGGTTTGAAAGTTAGGTACCCTAGCTTTAAGTCATCCTCTGCCCACACTGCAGCAGAAGATCTGGATGTGAATAATATCATGAACTTAATGTAAGCCTCTACTATTCATTTGCTATTTCTCTCGTTATTCTTAGTTATGCCTCTATGGTCATAAAATCAGTTTGAATTGACCTGCACATTATGCACAATTATTATGATTTGATTAAGTTTGACACTTGTCGTCTTTAACACTTTTATATTTCAGTGCTCCCATAATGTTCATGTTATTTTGCCTTTCCACAGCAGCATTGGCACATATGACTAAGAGCATACAATGTACTGTAACCTTCAAAAGTATTGTGTAGAAAAGGTCCCCTGTTGCATTGAAAAGTAGAAGCCACTCCAGCTCCATCATTGTACACCACATATTTTCTGCTTTAGTGCTGCACAAAGGCGGCTCTCCACTAAATGATCAGGCCTTCTTAAACGTTTGTACAGAGCACCTGAGACTGAATAGTCATGCATGTAGTTCTCTGGCAAGGTCTGTTTTCTTTCATCTCCTTCTGTGTGGCCGAGCATCGGATTAACGAAGTCGTATTCTGATCTCTCTCTCGTTGCTCCTCCATCAGTTTTTACAATGTTTACTGTATTACCATAACCCTGATGCAAGGTCCTTTCATAACAGCTCCAGAATGAATGGCCAGTGTATTAAGGCAAAGAGGATTATTGCAAAGAAAGTGTACCGTATAAACAGCTTGGAAGAATAGAGAGTAGTGCACATAATGGCATCTGAAAGCTTTCATTTTTGTCGTATTGTCTCTCCTTCCTTCTCTAAACAACCTCCCCATTTTGCAGCTATCCGAGTGAAATTCTCAGAGGCAAAACGAAGCGCATTCATGCATCCTGAAAGAAGCTTTTAAGCTCGAGTAGGCTATGGCACAAACAAAGAGGAAGGTGAGCCAAAGCTACAGCCACTCTATGACTCAATGTTTATAACCTTGCCATGCTGAGTTTAAGTCTACAACAGCACAAACCAATGACAGAACAACATTGCTTTCCCATTAATATGGTTTTGTCCGCAGAACTAAAGTGATGCATTGTGCCGCAACTTTGCTGAAATGTTTCTCAATAATTCCTAAGCAGAAACTGTTAAATGTGAATTGTGACCGTGACACTGATCCAAGTCTTTTTCTCGGAATTTGTGCTTTTGGGGAGAAGTATTGTGCGCGTATTGATTTTGGGCGCTCAGCCGATATCCATCTTAAAGATAAATGTTCGCGTATGATAAGATACAAAGAGCATTTTTCTTGACTGTCAGACCCCCACCCTTCGGCACTGTCGCTTCATTTTGGTAACTGGTGCTGAGGGCTGCTCCTCCGCTGACCAAGCATCGGCTTCCCCTTCACTTGATAAATGGACTCCTTTCAATTCAAGACAGAAAGAGATAATCCCAGATAATGTGAACACAGTTTTCATTTCACCCAATTAAACTGCAATTATCCCCCGTGTAGAAGAGCAGAAAAGTGGGAAGAATGGTCAAAGAATGGAGACTCACAGACACATTAGCCCAGATTTGCTCCATGGTGATAATAGAGAACCGTTTCTTTGCACTTGGCAGAACAGAACAAACTTAAGTGAGGAGTTAATGAAGAATGTCCTTAAAAAGGCACGACCTTTGTAGAATTCAAAGACTGCAGAAAGACGTTATAATATTGGCTAAGTGAAGTATGTAGAGTAAACTGTATTTGCCGGACTATTCCTATTAGTATCGATGCAGCCAAGTATTTATATTTTGTTAGAGCGTTCCAGGAAGGACTTTAGCTCCAAAGCTAACGGCATAGCACACATTCCTGCTTCCAGGTATGTTTATGTGAACAGGGTTGACAGAGCCAACACAGGGAAGTGCAGGGAAATATTTTCTGTTTTTAGTGATAAAAAGTAAAAAAAATAAAGTAGTTCAAACAGTCATCTATGTTGTTTTGCTACATCACCTTTTGGTGAGGTCTTATATTACAGCATGAAAACCTGCGGCTTTTATTCCCTACCAACAAGCTCACATTCTTTAAATGTTTTTATTTCAGGCAAACACCAGAGCAACACAGTTGTTATTAGCAAAAAAAACACATAGCATTACTACATCACCTTCACAAGTTTGTGGATCACAGTCTAAAAGTAATTCAAGTTTGTGTAACTTTGTTGTTCCATAGATCATACTTCGTCTTTGTCCAAACAGATACATACTTCTGAGCTGAAAGCTGATTGGCTGAGTGAGGGTACTTCTCTCTTCTTCACTTTTTTGTCTGAACAAAGCTGATGTAAAAAATATGAAAGAGGCCAAAGATTCATAAATGTGAAAACTAGTGATAGAACCAAACTGTTTTGAGAGCTGGGAACTAGATAGATATTACATACATGTTTTTGTGGTTTTAAAATTATGTACCTCCGTTTTAATTTAATCCAGTTTTACACTGGTTTAATTTCAAGATTAATATTAAAAAAGTGATGTAAAATAGTGAAGCAAAAGTATTGTAAGTTAATCTATGCATGTGGACATTTGTTGAGGTTTCTTCCAATTCAATCCATAATAGAAATCTATTGTCCAAATTGTCCTTACATAGAAAACTCAAACTGCATGTTACCCTTGAACCATCAGGTCTGAGTCCAGGTCTAAAGCCATTAAGCCTTGTTGTTGAGAGCTCCACGAGTCTTTCTAAACATCAAGGATTTCTCTGTTTTCCCTCTTTTTATTCCACTTTTCATTATTATCATGTTAATGTCTTTGTGCACTGGAACAAAAGTGTGCATTTGGTGAATCTTTTGTCATCAATGTTAGATCCCTGACGCTGGCTACACAGGGGTTCAGAAACCTTCAGATACTATTTAAAAAGTGCCTTTGAGTGGGAGCTTACTGTTCTTTAAAAGCATTGACCAGCTAAAAAAGGGGGGGATGCTTCCTATGTCAATTGTTTGCCTCCTGATTGAAGCCAACTCTTCTTCCCTGGCACAAAATCTAAGAAAGTGAATGAATGTCTTTTTTAATTACTGTTCCCCGTCGTAATTATCACACGGGACGATTTATGGATTAACATATTGATTTCACCTGACCCTTGGCGAGGTTTAATTTGGACAAGCCTGATACTTTTTTTGGCTGTGGATGGCAATACACGCTGCCTGAGGCCCATTTCTCTGATCTCCTCTTTAGGCGTGTCAACTCATCTTCAGCGAACGTCTCTCGGGACGTCCAGTCTGAGCCTTAAAGGGCCCATACGCTGCTTATTCACAAGGGAAAACTGCAATACTATTGACTTTTGCCAAAAAAAGTGAAGGAGCAGAGGTTTAAGTAAAAGAATTAATCTCGACGAAAGCGATTAGTGCTTTGAAGTCTTTGATTTTGTGCAAAGCTAGTCACTTCACTATCCTCTACCCCTCTAAGGCAGGGGGAATAAACACAAATCATTAGGCAAACATATTAACATGCGAACACAGGCTGGCTGCTTATAATGCTGATAAAAGGTCTCATTGCACTCAGGATTGGAAAATGGCAGACTACTCAAAGCCCAGGGGCCAAATTCAGTCTGTCGTAAATATTTTTTGGCCCTAGAATGTATCTTGTTTTTCAACCTTTTCAGCGTCTCAGAATTGTCAAGATGCCTTTGTGTCGCACCTTCTGTAGGGTTGATTTTGCTGCTTAGATTTTGTATCTTTTAATTAATAATTTTAAATGCAATGACATCCAGACGGATCACATGAGGCAACTAGGATTTAAATACCTGCCGTGAAAGCCAGATCCTGTCAGATTTCTGAAGCTAAACAGGTCAGGACCTGGTTAATACTGTGATGGGAGACCTCTAAGAACACAAGGGGCCACAGTGGGGCGGCTGTAAAGTGCCAAACTTTTGTTGTGTCTGTTGGCAAGGCACTTCACCCACATTGCCTAGAAGGAATCTGGTGTGTGTGGGAATGACTGGTGGTGGTCAGAGGGGCTGATTGAACATGCTGGTGGCCTCACTTCTGGCTATAGTAGTAGTTTATCACCACTGTGTATGAAAGAATAATTACATGCAGCGTCTGTGAGCGTCCAAGAAAGCACTATATAAAACCAATGCATTATTATTATTTGAACGATGGTGACATTGATGGAAAATCTGTGGACACCTACAAAACATGTTATTTAAAATAAAAATTAAAGAAAGCTGTGGAATTATTGACAACATATTAATATGAGACATTTTAAGCATTGCCTTTGAAATACACTGTTGTAGAATTAGTTCATACTGACTTAACACATCCAAAGCTGAATGGTACAAATTTAGAAGCATGGATAACCACTTCAAACCTGTTTTTGATATTTTGTTTTAGCTTGCAAAGTAAGATTCACGATTCAATCATTTATTGTCATTGTCCCAAAAACAACAGCATTACATTTTGAGCATAACGTGATAATAGAGCGTATGAAGTGCAGATGTAAACAGCACGGGGCTGTATGAGGGAGTCATTTTGAAATGTAAGGAGTAGAAAATACGGATATGTGAGTGTAAGTGAAGTACCAGGAAAAAACATACTTGATTACTTGCCACCTCTGATGGTATGTAACATGATTATTAATACCTGCTCTGAAAGAATTCACATTCACACAATGCGCTGTTTCTCTGATCGTCAACGCTGTTTTAACATATGCATCGACCCAAATGCATCGCTGATTAAGGTGATGGCTGAATACTTTGTCAAAATGTGATCAATATTTCCTGTAAGTGTGTGTGCATGAGTGATGACCACAGAAGCAACAGGAGAGGGGGAGAAAACAGGGGGAGAGACGAAGAGGGAGGGAGGAAGGGTGGGAGGGAGAGAGGGGGAGACCAATACAGTCGTCATACTGCTGCTGTGTCCATCAAATAATGAGATCACCTGAGACAGCCCACCTCCACAACAGGACCTGCTGACAGGACACTTGCCCTGCTATTGATCACACCGTCATTCAAGACAACGCCTGGGGGCACACGCACACACACACACACACACACATGCATGATTATACTTGATTTCAACAAATAAAGGCTTGATATATCTCACTTTTTTTCAAAGATTAGTTTTACATTGTAGTGACATTTTGTAGTGTCACGTTCCCTTTTGAACAATTCCAAATAAAGACATTTTTTGCAGTAAAAACTGCAAAAATCCGATGATATGGAGAAAATGCCTTCAGACAAAATTTCTATTCACATATTTAAAATCTATATTTTTTCATTATGAGCTAAATATTTCAGTGATGTTACACCTGAAGAATTGAAATGAATCGGTCAACAGGTCATGTGACAGAAATGTCTTTGGTCAACCCAAAAATCTGATCCAGCGACACAACTATGTTTGTTAGGCTGATTCTCTGTAAGAACGCAGCCTCGAGGAAACAGCCTTGAGTCAAGTGTGTAGGAAGTGTGATATTCCTCGTGTCGTGCCTGTATAATTCAGTGCAGTTGTTGTTTTGTCCCTGAGGTATGTCCGACAACAGGCTCATAAAAGGACTCACCTAGAGAGACTCCGCATTCACTCTTTACAAAAGGCCATCTGCAGGAACTCTGTTATTTTGCTCCAATGAAAAGTCGCACTTTTTCTCTCTCAATGACATGGTTATTATCTTGGTCACTTAATCTCCTCAAATAAGATTGATTTCCCTTTTCAGTCTGTGGTGGAGTGCTTCTGTCAGGCCATGGGAACCATTGAGAAGCACAGAAGCTGCACCATTTTCCCATTTGATGGAGGTCACCGTCACTCGGGCCGTTTTCTTTCTACGTTTGGGCCGAGACACAAAAGGTGCTTTTCTGTTACAGAGAGAGCGAAGATGCACAATGTACAAGAAGAGAGGATGTGTCATGCAAATGTTAGGAGCAGAGGACAACGGAATGTAACCATGGTCGCAATGCAATTATATAAAATGACTACTTATATATTTGTCTGCCTTTCTACAGGGACAAGCATATGGATACGACTAATTGTTTACAGCCTACTTAAGGGGAATATGGGAGAATTTTCTACTTCTGGGTGGATCGTCCAGACTATTGGTCCTCCTCAATTGTCACTCATTTTAGTGAAACTTGCTTGTTAAGACCAGAGAGTTGTGTGGAGAGGGTGGTTCTATTCTACAATTTGGGAAAATTCTCCATTACACCTTGAAGAGAGATCCTTTATTCATCGCACAGTAGGGAAATTTCAGTGTTGCATCACCAGTTACAGAACAGTAGGAATGAGGAGCACACTGCAAAAATTAAGTGAATAATAACTCTATACTAAAACAAAATACAATCTCTAACTTTCGCATAATAAATAAGCAAGTATAACATCTATAGCTGTAGCGTAGTAAGGAAGTCTAAAATATCCAACTTTAGCATAATGAAGAAGCAATAATTGAGAATAAAATCTTTCAACTTTCACTCAATACAAATAATTACACAAATAGAACTTATAGATCTACAATGTTTTGGATACTTTTATGGGATGTTAAGGCCAAAAACTATTGTTGCTGTTTTTCTACTTGTCTGTACAGCACGTTGTTAAGCCTAGGCTGTATTCAAATGTGCTTTACAAACACATACGAATTGATTGAAAAATGTATTCCTGTAATGAAATATATCAAGCTTAGTTGTATTAAGCTATATCCTTAAAAGGTGAAATTATGGCTCAGTGATTTTAACTTTGTGATTAATTGCGTTCAGTCCAATAAAAGCAAAACTAAAGTCTTTTGTTGGATCGACTACATCCTCAAGCAGTCTGCGCCCCATTATCATCCGTACCCACCCATTCAGTCTACTCTGTCCCCTTGTCAAGGTTAGTGTTAGGGTTCAAGCTTAATAATTATGGATTATTGTCTTCATTTAACCTCTTTCTATGCCGCATATTTTGTCAAGTGCTTAATTCTGAGGTAGTGCCACAATACACAGTGAAGAGATTTGAATAGAGACAAATTGTATTTAACGACCCATCCATCCATCCATGGATGTTGAAGTTATTCCCGCCAGCGATGACCTCCCAGGGGCGACAGTAGCTCAGTTGGTAGAGCATTGCCCTTCAGGCCTGAAGGTCGTGGGTTCATTCCCACCTCTACACCTTCTCCACCGACTCCCACTGATGACTGCTGTCGTTGTGTCCTTGGGCAAGACACTTAACCCCACTTTGCCCAAAGCCCCCACTGAAAGATCAAGGCTATGCTCACACTCAGAGAGCAGCCGTCCTCCTGTGGACTCACCACCTGCAGAGGGTCAGTGAGGGGCTGGTGCTATGAGACTTGGGTGGCATCTCTGACTGCCACCCCCCTGACCCAGAAATGGATTAAAGGGTAGAAAATGGATGGATGGATGGATGGATGGATGACCTCCCATTTTAACCCGTTCCATTTATTATGCATTCCTTTATTCATTTCTTCATCGGCCATTCAACAATATTTGTGTGAGGTCAGATGAAGCTAATAAGTTGGGAGTATGGCATTGTGGAAAGCTCCCAGAAGTATAATTGATAGACGTCACATGTCAGCCTGTGTTTTTCTTGTTTGAAGGGCGATGGCTGAGCTCTGAATGCCCAAATCGTACATGCTGTGCCACGGGTTCAAGGAGATTGGATCAGCACTTTGTTCACAATTCAGGCACTACATAAAGACGCAGAGTGGCTGGGAGAGAGCAGTCTTTGCAGAGTTGGAGGAAAAAGGTAGGATAGAAAGAAAAATATACCCACGATGCAACTGTGTTTTTTTGTTTTCTCCGATCGACTGTATATGTATCGGAGATGGGCTGTCTCTGGTGGCTTTTCTTTAGCCGCCGCGCGTATGATGAGTTAGCAAGACCTGCGAGTGATGAGGCCAGATAGGAGATAGAAAAGGTGCCGCTATCAGGTGGCATTCTGTAATTACAACTCTCTATTTGGGGGGCTTTGCCGAGATCCATGGCAGTGATAACCACTTCATAATGAAGAAGAAAAGGTCTGTGGCAGATAAAGGATGGGCTAAATGGTGCAATGAACACTATGATGGGAAAGTCATCGCAATGCCCCAAGCTTTTTTCAAACTGCAATGAACTGAAGCAACACATGTTTACTATTATGTTTATTATGAAAAGCTACTCCTGATAAATGTATATACTGTATATGAGTATGGCTGCAGCTCAGTAAGTAGAGAGCCATAAACATAACCTTGTCAGTTCACAATCAAATGTCCTGTTCTATAGTGACCTTGAGATGCACTCTTGAGCAATTTTGTCTAAAGCCATTTGTTTTGTTGTTTTATAATTGTAAAAAAAAGTCACAAACCAAACGAATTATTTTTAAAACAGTAGGGCTATTACAAATAATCGCCACATTTTTAGAAACTGATTAATTAACTGGTCTATGTACAAACACAGTTATTTGGGAGATGTGATTTGAAGCCCCCAACAAAGAAAAATCATACTTTTTCATCCTAAATAATGTAAATTTGGCATTTTTAATTAAAACATCTGTTCTGGAGATCAAATCAATTCACTTCACTTCAGCGTGTCTGGGTCAAATTTGAGATAAAGTTTTCTGTATTATCATTTTATTATTATATTATTTATGTATTATCATCGTTCACATTTTTAAAAACGAATCGATGAATCGGAATGATCATCAGTAGATTAAGCAGGTATCCAAATAACCAATAGTTGAAGCCTTAATCAGACCAATGAAATGGCAACATAAGTAATTTAAGATTGAGATTAAAAATGTATTTAATATTAGTCATACACACAACACAGTAATGCACTTTTCAACTTGGACATTTCTAGGGATGTGGCTGTCGTACAAGGTCTGGAAAAGGTTTAGGTTTCCATGGTTTAATCCTGAGTGGGCACCAGGAGTCCCAGTCCCTGTGCTCCTCAGAGTCCCAGGTACCCAGGTGGCGGCACGGTGGCTGAGGGGATAGCACTCTCGCCTCTCAGCAAGAAGGTCCTGGGTTCGAATCTCGGTTGGACCAGGGCCTTTCTGAGTGGAGTTTGCATGTTCTCCCTGTGTCTGCGTAGGTTTCCTCCGGGCGCTCCGGTTTCCCCTACCACGAAAAATATGTACAATAGGTCTGACATGTGCCTCCTGTACTGGCGACCCCCACTCACAAGAATTACAATTGTAAACCGCTTTGAGACTCCGATGTGCAGTGAAAAGGCGGTATATAAATAAAGATTACTTACTACTTACTACCATACATATATCAATCAATGCTCAATTATTACAGCCCGCAAATGCAATAAATATAAAAAGTATGTTTAATAATGAAATGGTGTGCTAAATAAGATTAGATAAACTAAGCAAAACATCATTCTGCGGTCACCTCCATCTCACTATCTTTTTTAAAAACACAGAAAAAACCCCACAGAGCCCTGAGAGCCAACCTAAACATACTGTATCAGCCCCGGAGCATCTATCACAGTTCACACATGGCACAAAAAGCACGGATTCTGTTGCTAATGATCCTTCCGTGAGTCACTTGATTGGTAGCGCTCGTGTTGTTTGCCCCTCAGGCTGCACAGATATTCTGCAAGTGTAAGATTACGTATAATACTTTTGACAAGCGCCGGTTTAAAGATGAAGGTCTTATCAACCTTGCGGACCGCGCTGCCTTCTGTGCCGCTATTCTGCAGCTCTATAATGTGCTTTCTGAGTTGCGTTTGTCCAGATGCTCAAAGGAGAAACGGCTTCAACATCCTTCAGCATCCCTCATCCCCTATACACACACACACACACATACACATAAACACGCACACACACACTTCCCCTTGTATATTATTGTGTGCGTTTTTCTCCTCTTCACCAAAGGATCATGACCACTATCAATAGTATTTGCGCTAATGTGATTAAGTTAATACCAAGCGGATTATTTCTCAATATCCTCTTGATATGCGTAGTATTTAGGTTGGTGTTTCTTGAGTAAACATTTTCAAACCAAAATAAGACAAAGACGTGAAAGAGTGCCCCGGGGAGCAATAGAGAACTGTATAATTAGAATGATTAAAGAAAAGTGCACAACTCATTTGGCACTTGGTGAATATATTTGCAGCGTTTCAAAATGGGTCACAAATTTAAGACGCACGTGACAGCCGATCAACTTTATTCACATTAATTATGCATTTATTCAGAAGGCCTGCGTCAGTCATTCAAAGTGATATGAATTGCCACAATCCGATCTTGCGCTTAAGCGTGTTTTCTACACATTGTAAAGGGCTCTAAAGCTACCTCATTATGCAAAAAAAATGACTTGGTCCCATCTAAAGTCTTTAAATAGTAATCAATGGGGGGGCTACACTCTTTGTCGCTACAGCAGTTGATGAAAGGGCCTGCTTTAAAAGTCAGTCTCTGCCTCTAATGGCTCGTAATGGGGACAAATTGAGTGTCAATACGCTCTCCACACCGTCCTTTTGTCCTGCTATTGAAAAATACATTAATAATTTTCTATTCCTGGCAATCCAAATCTTTGATCTGGGACGGCTTTGTCTCTTCTCGCAATTGCACTAAGCATCTTATTGATAGGGAAATGGGGGACAGGATAGAAATCATAGCACTAAAAATATGATGTATTAATTTGCCTCGATTTTTATTTCGCAAACAATTAATTCATTTTCAGTGGATTATCTTCGTTATCTCTAACGACTGTAAAAACTGGAGCATCTTCGCACTAATCCTTAACAGATAAAAGCTTGATCTGATTCTTGTCTTGTTACAGGCCCTAAATGCAAAAGGCAAATCGCATACATTTCAATTGAGTTTTGTTGTTATTTCTTTGCCAAACTGTTTCAAAACACAGAGGTGTTGACGTGGTTACTTCAAAAAACCATCTGCTTATGGAGTGAACTTTAGAACATGACTTTCATATATTGGATGAGACCTTTGCAGAAATACTTTTATCCAAAAATGAATAAAGTCAGTTGATAAGGAGAGGTCAAACGCATGCTACCTTGAAATCAATTTTAGCTGCATCTCCCAAAAGGTGGCTCTCTGGGAATAAACAAGGGAGAATCGCTTGAGTGTGGGGGACCTCATCATGTGGCTTTTATAATTTTGTGCTATCGCTGGAGCTCCTGGGGCTCCGTATGCAGACTGATGGCATGGTGCATGTGATCTCTCTCTAAAATGTCCCCATGGGCTTGTTGTTTGCTTGTGCCACTGCTGCTGTCGCCTTGCCTGCTATATTTGCATGATATTTTTCTATTCACTTTCCTTATCACAGTATAGCGCTGTGAGGTGGGAGTGCGAGAGCTGGCTTCCGTCTCAGCCTCTCTATCAGCAAGGTAATTCTGCCACTCTCACTAACTCATCTTTGAATTATTTAAGTGTAATTTCCCGCACTCCAGCACAGGTAAAAGACGGCGAGGACATGCAGAGTGAAGTGTTAAATATGGGTATCAGATTGGAATTAAATTAGGTGTATAATTATATTTTGGTTCTTATATTGAAGTGAAGAGAATGTGTGTATTAATGTCAAATCCATACAAAAAAAATCATATTGCGTTTATTATCACACATTTACATGTATTGCAAAATGTGACATATTTTCCTTTCATGTTGAACACTTTTCTTTTTTTTAAGACGAAGTGTTCTGTTTTAAGTTCACAATTTCATATTAATTTCACATCAATTCCAAGTGCTAGCACAGCGCAGTAGACGTTATAGGTGAGCATGTTAATTTTATGTTACGCATGACTGAGGCCCGTCCGTCAAAACAGATTAGAATAATAATTTAATAATAATAGAAAAAATATTCCTAATTCGAATATAATTCAGTGTTATTTTTTAAAGCCTATATGAACATGTTAAATTAATATAGGCAATTGACAATAATTTGACGTCTAGTTTATGCTCAATTTCGGATGCGACCTGAAGCCTTCACAAACTTGTATTATGTTGTTGAATATAGCCCTTCTCTGTTGCTTTTATGTACATTTATAATTACACACAACGGGTAAAAAGGTGTGAGAACAAACCACTTAAACGCACAATTTGCTCAACAAGTCCTGTCAGATAGCTGTAATTGCCTCACTGAATATTCGCCATTCTCTCATTTCACTTGTCGAATCGCTGCCCTTGGGAAAGTCCTTTGAAGTAAATGTTTAAAAAAGCGAAGGAGAAGAAAAAGGGGCATTTCTGCAAAGTAATTAATTTGAACCAAGTGCGATTAGAAACACTCGAGACCTCCCTAACGTGAGACACTTATGACAAATGCACGCGTAAAGTCTCAAAATGTCCCTCTGCGTGGCTCCTGCAAGGTTTGCTGTTAGATGTGGGACACGTTAAATAAGGCAAGTAAGAAAAGAAAGGGTATAATCAGCATAAAACTAAACTAACAATACAAAAAAGAGTATGCACAAACGAAAAAAATAACTGATCAAACGTTCAAAAAGCCGTGCGTAAAGTGCATTCCGTTAAAGAGTGGCCGCTGCGCTACTTTGGCAGTGGGATTGAAGGCCTGCATTTAGAACAATAGGCCTATACAACACGGACACTTAAACCATGCTCTTTCTTTACGTCACCTACAACAACAGCCAGATCATCGCGTTGTGCGTAAAATAACTTTGAAGGATAATGAGGAGCCCAGAGCGCGGACAGAGGCTCCAGCATCAAACTCCAGCGGGGTGGGATTTGGAGACAGCCTGTCAACACCCACTGCGCATGCGTCAGTCGCACTTTCACTACCTGACACTGAATCCGTGTATTTCATATGGGGCACACTGGAGCGCTCATTCACTCGCGTCAACGACACAGCCGCTGCCAGTCCTCCGCATCTGCACCTGCTGATGACAGACCGACTGACAGTAGCCAACACACTGCGGCTTATTCTTTTCTCTTTTCTTCATCTTTTCAACTGGACTCCGCGACGATGCTAAACACATAACTCCAGACCCCGCGCGGAGACAAACACTTATTTTTTCAGCAAACAAGCATCGCCGGGATGCAGAATTAAAGTCTTCAGGGTAAGTAGACCAAACATCCTACTTTTCTTTAGTTAATGATGTTATGTTGTTGTATTGTTGTGATGCTTTATATGCACCTATCTGACTTTTAACATCCCCGTATTGTCTGTTTGTTTTATAGTTTGTCAAGACCATGTCAAAGCCAATGGATCACGTAAAACGTCCAATGAATGCCTTTATGGTGTGGTCCCGAGCCCAAAGAAGGAAAATGGCCCAGGAAAACCCCAAAATGCACAACTCTGAGATCAGCAAGCGGCTGGGAGCGGAGTGGAAACTTCTGACGGAGTCTGAGAAGAGGCCGTTCATTGACGAGGCGAAAAGACTGCGCGCCATGCACATGAAGGAGCACCCTGACTACAAGTACCGGCCCAGAAGGAAGCCAAAGACGCTCATGAAGAAAGACAAGTTTTCCTTTCCGGTGCCCTATAACCTCGGGGAGCATGAGGCGCTCAAGGTGAGCGGCCTGGGTCTTTCTGAGTCTCTCATGGGAAATCCTGACAAAGCGGCGGCCGCAGCTGCTGCTGCTGCTGCGCGTGTTTTCTTCAACCCGTCCATGTCCACGAACCCTTATTCCTTTTTCGATCTGGGATCCAAAATGACTGAACTTTCGACACATTCTTTCCCGTACGCGTCCCCGTTAGGTTATCCCCCTGGAAGCGCCGCTGCTTTCGCTGGAGCAGGTGGCGTGGGCGGAGGCACGCACACGCACTCGCACCCATCACCTGGGAACCCGGGCTACATGATCCCGTGTAACTGTACCGCGTGGCCCTCAGCGGGTCTGCAGCCTCCTTTAGCCTACATTCTGCTGCCTGGCATGGGCAAACCTCAGCTCGAACCTTACCCTGCGTACGCAGCAGCGTTATGATAGGACTCCTTCAATCAGTGACTTTGCAAAGAAGAAGAGAGAAGTTTTATTATGCATGCACAAACTTGTACATGTGATGAAGTGCTTGTGGTCTCACATATCACATGTGTTCTGTATATGATTATACCTTTATACAAGGTTATTAAGACACTCTCTGGACACTGAGAGCTCTTTTTTTAAGTTTGGAAGCACTGACTCAAAATGGAAGAGTTTAGAAATGACTGTAAATGTGTACACAAGAAAACAATCGCCTCTAGTTGATTTGCTCCAGGCATATGTTTTACATATAGGCCTTGTTTTCATTTCCCCGGTTAAATGTATCTAATTTGAGTTCCTCCCAAAATGTTTATAGATGTCTGTAATATTTATTGTTTTAGTGGAATCTATGGTGAAGACAGCTACACTGGATCTGTCATATTTGCACATGAGGGTGGAAGTTCTCTCCTCTCTTCCAACACACTGGCTTTATTATAGATATGGCAACTTTTTCCCCCTCCACTCTTGTTGCTCTTATCTTGTGCTACAGACAAAACAGCTTTTTAACTAACTCTTATGAACTTTGTATGTTTTGTGTTTTTCTTTGAAATCTCCCTTCTGTATTTCAATCTATTGCTACTTGTTGAGCGTAAAAAGGACTCCAAATAAAAGCGGATAAAACGGAAAGCAATACACTTCTCGTTGAGATGAACAAGATTGTTATCTATTTGTCCTTTTTTTCCTTCTCCTCTCTCCCTTCTGGCTTCGGTCTGGTCCAGGTGAAGTGTAAGGTATCCTCTAAAGGCCGCTTTTGTCCGCGCGGTGAATGCCATTACTCCGGTCAGTGCGCAAACGTGACTCTTAATTCGAGCATTGTAATCCAGAGCCAACGTCCTATTTATCACCATTTTAATCGTGAGTGGGGAGGAAGATAACCAGACTGTGTTTTATTCCCACAAAATCAAATGGAACGAGGAACAAGTGCGCCTTTCAAAACAAGCCACGTGCGTAAAGCTGCAAAGGGAAACGACAAGTGGAAAGACACGTATACATACAGGTGTGTGTGAGTTGTAACTGCTGGAGCAATTATATCTAACATGTAACCCGAGTGAGCTGGGCGCGCTGAAAGGAAGGACAGGCGCGGATTCACAAGGATCAGAGCGATTATGCAAAAACTAATTTGGAGAGTCCAGGGATAATTACCTCCGTCACGCTTAATTTGACCCTTTGAGCAGTGCGTTTACCATAGCGACACCCCCGGCCTTAAAACCTCCAACCTCCCCTCTCTCCACGCCGCCCCCCCACACCTCATACCCCACTCGCATCCTGGACATCCCAATAACTTCTCCCAATAACACTTCTTGCGCGCTTGAAAAAAATCTAACACATTTCTACTTTTTCCCCCTTGCGCGTAAAACCATAACTTTCATACAAGGGCAACACGGTGGTGGATAAACTAATACTTAACACGTGCTTTATAATTATCATGTATATTGGAATGGGATTATTATATGTGATAACTTTATATAGGCGCGCATCTATCTCTCTGTATAAATATAACAAAGCCAAAATACGCAAATCAGCGGTGGGAAATGTCTCCTCTTTTTTCGTTCTTTTTTTTTTTAGAATCGTGAAAGGTGAAAAAAAAGGGCTCCAAGAATTCGTAAAGACTTTGTTCCACTATGGGAGCGTTTAGACGGTCGAGGAGGTTTTGTGTGGGAACAAAACACGGGGTTGGGAGCTTTTTGTGCGCGCGCTGTTTGTTGAAGTGGTGCCCTGCAAAAAGCTGCCTGCCTTTCCCTCATTGTGATGAAAGCAATCAGTGGTATTTGGAAAACTGTTAGCATTGTGCACTTCTTCTGTGTCCATTGTGCGGGATTTCTTTTCACCAGGTTTTTTTTTTTTCAGCCGATCCAGCTGGCCGGAGTGAATAGCAGCGCAATGTGTACACGCTTTGTCCCCTGCAAGCCCTTCAAGTAGCCCTCCGTGAATGGAGTGAGTTGACACTGCATGACAGTGAAACAACATAATAAAAAATACATGAGCGCGCCAATAGAAGCAGGCGCATAAATAAATAAAATGGGTGGCCAAAACTGGATAAACCGAGCGACAAAACGGTGAAAGGGGGGGGGAACAAAAAGATATTTACCACGCCAGATTAGCATGAGAAAGTAATCTACAAGCCAGAACAATTGATGAATGGGTTTACCGGCCAAGAAAGAAATGGACTAAATGCCTTTTGAATAGATGGCCTATGTTTTTCCTGTCAAAGAGTGGTGTGGCTGAATGGGACAAGGTGGAGATGGGACCATGGAGAGGAGAAACGGTTGAAAAGTTTTTGTGCACTTACAAATATACAAAGGGTATTTGGAATCACAGCAATGCAATACTGCTGGGCTCAATATGTCAAACACGGTTCAAGCAGCTATAGAAAGTTCATTATGACCATATGTGTTGTTGTAGAATAAATGCATTAAAAATTGTCATCTGAATAAGTCCTTTAACAGATTTTTATAATAACAGCAAAAAAAGTCATGAAATTATATTGGTTTTCAATACGAACACACTATGATTTTAGTCATTTATTTAGGACATTAGACAAAGTGGCAGATGTTGCTAATTTTCATCACAATGATTTTAGGATACACTTAAAAATGTCACTTTTTTAAATTTTATTTTATTTTTTACAATATTTCCTACTATTTGCTGTCTATTGTAGCCAAAGCTAAACTACAATCAGTTTAACACATTTAACTTTTTTTCTTACCATTTTAAGTCGTATTCATACACAAAAGCAGACACAAAACCATAAAACATGCCACAAACAGAAATATATGTAATTTTCTTAATACTGAAAACGTGTGCACTAAGACCATAGCTCTGTATTTTACTTTGTTCATTTAACTTCATGTATTTCAATTTTTCAAATAAATTGTTGGCCGATAATAGGGTCTCGTCAAATGGTGGTGGGGTGTGAAATAAGCATAACACGAACCTGGCAAAAAATGTTTAATTTCTATGTAACTTTTCCAGCAAATCGTCACACACATATACCTGTCATTAAAACTGCATTCAAATCAAGTTGAGTCCTTGAGAGTCCTTAATACACATAATTAAACAGCACTTATTTTCTCAGCTTAATAATAAACTATTTTGATGAGGGGAGAGAAAAAAAGCAGCATTAGCTCTTGTCTGTCTGTATTCATTCACGTTGACATTTGTGATAGATTTGAGGGCATGGCAGAAGGCTGATACTCTGTAAGCCCCCCTTCCGATGCCCCTGATATCATTATGTCTTAGCGGTAAGCCCGTTCAGTGCCTGTAAGACATTTGTCAGTGCGAGATTAGGGAAATGAACACACTACATATGTATCTGCAGTTCAAGCGTATTTGACCTCACAGCCATGTACAATAGTTTGCTCATCCTTAAATTTGCCTAAGGCTGGCCTACGAGCAACCAGATTATCAGCTTACCTCAATGGCAGACGATGGTATTTTTTACTGACATGAATAATGCATCAATATAGTGTTTGAGATGTTTTTTTTTCTATTTGTTTGTAGGAGACATTACCTGGGACGGCTACCTGGATCCTGCGTTGTAAAACCTCAAAGAGCTATCAGCGCTCTCCTCTCCCATCTCATTTTGAACCGAATCAAAGTGTGCAAAAGTCTCTCCTCCAGCTATCTCCCCAATCTCCAGTTCAGGTCAGGAATGTTTATGAAGGCGCACATATTACCTGTAATCTGTCCAAGTGGGAAGCGCGGTATTTTTTCGGACTTTTCTATGCTCCGAGGAGGTGGGTGTAAAATGGGGGAGAAAAAATTATCTTGCTTTGCACCTTTGCGGCAACAGCTAAAAACGTGGCAAATCAAAGGCGGAAAAAAGGGTCGGTGTGTGTCGCTGTGCCCAGGGTCAGTCAGGGAGATGAAGAACTAAACAGCTCACCTCTGAAGTCCAACTTTGGATATTAGGAGTAAATGCTGCAGCAGGAAGCAGGAGCAGTGAGAAAGGAGAACAAGGTGACTTCTCCCAAAAAAAATGTGGGAAAGTTAGAACAATATTATTTCGCACACTGGTTTCCTGGGAGCTGTGTGGAGTATATATTAAATTCAAATTAGGCTCAAAATGTTGAAAATCGGATCTTATTTCAAACTAGACCAGTATTGAAACTAGATCATGGCTGTAATTAAACATAATTTTGAGAATCGATCGTTTTCCGATTACTCTTTCAATGTGTGTAGATCCCGGGAGTTCAGTGAAAACGACATTTTTAAAGAAAATTGACCAAAACAAAGCTCAAGTGATGCCCCTGGAGAAGGTCTTCATAGAGATGACTTATATTTTTATATTATTTTACCATCACTATAGAATTATCTGACCTTTTCTCAGCATGTTTAAGTCTATGTGGCGTTCAAAAAAATTATTAAATTCGTTAACAGAATTTTATATTAATGCAATTAATTAACTTGCCCTAAACTAGCTGCTTTTTTGAGAATGTGTCAATACTGAAATCTAAAAAAAAATCATTTAAAAGGACATTGTTTGATATCCAAGTGTCTGAAGTTTTGATCTAGAACTAGAAAAACAACTTTTGATGACATTTTATACATCGCCACGGTTTCAAAATTGAGTCTTATTTTTAGTATTGAAATTGAGTTCATTTAGTACAGTGACAACACTAGCTCAAAATATCTGAACATTATTCATGAGTTCAGTTTGCAAGGTTAAAAATGGTATAAGAAAGTATTCATTCAAATATTAATTGGTAAAGGTTTGACCAAACATAAATGAATGAATGGTTAAAAAAAACACTTTAACCATCACAAATATTGCACCGGTTCTACTCCTTTGACGGGATAAGCCGAGCGGAAACTTTTAGTCATCATAATCATTGGTTTGACTTCACAAATACATGAAAGCAGTGTTCTGTCTGGCTCTAAAGCTCCCACTGCTGTCTAAAACCACCCACTGCACCAGCAACCGCTTCTCATTATACAACTCCATTCAAGTGGCGTTTCCCAGT